CTGAACCATGGGAAGGACGCTCAGAGTGGGCCAGAGAGATGCTCTCCTGTGGCTGCCCGGCAGGGGCCCAGGCAGGGCTGCAGGACGCCCTTCTGCACCAGGGCTGTTAGCCAGGGAGGCCGAGCTGACCAGGGGCCCTGGTCTCTGGAGTGAGAGCAGCTGACCCCCTCTGTGGAAACGGGGTGGGGAGGGCTTGGTGTAGGGATGACCCCCTCCGTGGAAATGGGGTGGGGAGGGCTTGGTCTGGGTTTCGGTTCCTTGGAGAATCATGGATGCTGAGGGGCGTTGAGGATGGGACTATTTTTCAGGGAGCTGGTGCCAGCCTGTGGTCAGCAGATTTGGGGAGGCAGCGAGGGCCCCTCTGCCCAGTGGCTCTGAGAGGTTCCTGGCTCCTTGGGGTGGAGGCCGCGCTGAGGCCGTGAGTGTTTGCTGCAAGGATGGGAGGCAGAGGTTTTCCTGGCTGTTCCCAAAAAGGCCAGGACTGGCTTGTCACCGGCACCATGTAGGTCCCTGGGGCAAATAAATGGGGACAGAGTAAGGAGTGTGCTGCCAGGTGTGGCCGCGGGTGAGGCCTGCCCTGGAGGCTGGCGGGCTCTCCCCTGTAGACTCGCCCACTGGAGGAGGGTCTCCCTGATTGGCCGGTGGGCTGGGTGTGCGGTCTGCAGGTGGTCTGCGGTGCCTAGCGCCAGCCTCTCATGCCCCTCCGTGCAGGCCCTCTGTCCCACTGGTACACGCCCTGCCCTCACTGCCTCAGGTCCCCGACAGCCCTGCCCAGCAGGTCCTGGCCCACGTGGGCCTCTGCTGGCCGCCTCTGGCCATGCCCACCTGCCCGTCCTACCCGCTGCCTCTCCAGGTAGGTGGTGCAGCTGCGGCATACGGGCCGGGAGGGCAGTGGGTCAGATGGGACAGGGACCGGCTTGAAGGAAGGGGGGCCTCTCTCCCTGGCCCAGGTGACTCAGACGTGGAGCTGGCCCAGCTAGTGGGGTCCTGGCAACCTGGGTGCCCACTGGCTGCCCCTGGGCTCACAGCCCTCCACGCAGGGGTCTGGCCCTGTGCTTGGCCCAGTCCAGCGACCCGGGGTGTCTGGCCCACACCTGCCATTGGCCCCCATGGACTGCCCTCACAGGTTGGGGCATTTCCTCATCGCCGGGCAAATACCGGGGCTGAGCCTGAGGGGTCTGCCAGCATCAGCCCGATCTCACCAAAGACAGCCGTGACATGGAGCTGCCCCGAGGCGTGCTGTTGGCCTTGGGGGCCGCTCCGGGCAGAGGGTGCGGGCTCAGGCTCTTGCTCACGGTGGCATCTCTGTCCTCCGAGTTCCTCTCCTGGTGTTGAGGGCTTCTCTAAGTCCATGCTCTGGGGGAAGCAGACCCAGACCCAGGGTCACCTTACTGACCAGATGGGGTTCTCTCCTCAGCCCTGTGGGCAGCAGCCCCGGCCTCTGCCCTGCACAGCTGACCCGGCTCCGACCTTGCCACTGTCCTGTGTCCACACCGATCTGGGCTTGTCTCGGCTGGGGGCCCCGCTCAAAGGGCTGCCCAACCACGGTCCCTGCATCTCTGAGGCCTCAGCCCTGAATCTCTGATCTGACGGACAGGCTGGCCGGGCAGGGGCGGTCAGGTCACTAGGCCCACGGTGTTCCTCGCAGGGCCCACTGCCACTGAGGGCCTGGTGGGAGGTGGGATACTGCTACGAGTGATGTCAGACAGAGACAGAGGCTGTAGGGAGCCCGTGACCTTGTGCGGAGCGGAGGTGGGGGCCACGGGCCTGTTGGCGTGGGCAGTGGGGCCCACCTTCCTGGGCCTGCTGGGTGGACATGACACAAGGTGGAGGGCCAGCCCTGGCGAGTCTCAGCAGGGCAGAGGGCTGACTCCGGTCCCTGCTCAGGCTTTCCTGTCAGCATGACCACCTGAGGGCAGGCTGGCTTGGTGAGGCCACGTCTGTCGTGACGGCCCACTCCAGGCTCGCGGTGGCTGACGCTGACCATGGCGGCCACTCCCGGGGTGTGGGGGGCCACTCCGACCATGGCGGGGTCCTCTGGGGGC